GAATTTAAAATTATTTAACATGAGTTCCATTTAATCAAATGGAATGAAACTTTACACAGCGACAAAATATATGTTTTTGCACTTGAAAATGTGTTCATCATAAATATTGTAAAAATAATATCGTGAAGAGCGATATTGTCTACGTATTTTTTGAATAACCCTCGTATTTGTTGACAATATTCATGATAACTACCATAGAATTTACAAAATGCTGACTTTAAGGACATACACAACGTACATGTACTTTACAATTTACCTTTCCCACTGATAATTTTTTGAGATATTCTACGTTTAAAATCATTATACCATCACATGTTCGTAGACAAAAATTCAGCATACATTTCCAGGAGTTTTGAACAAATGATGAAAATCCTTGTATTTTTTTAAAGAAAAAATCAAGGAAAAAAGCGTTAGCAGATATAAATCCAAACTTTGAATTTGAAAAGGTGTATAACATTACCATACTCATTAAATTATACAAAGGTCCCTCAATTATTGTAACTATTAAATTTTTCAGGGAATATGAAAATAAAGTTCAAAACTACGTTGCGTATGTCCTTAAACGAAGTTGCTGAAATCCCTCTTACATCAATTTATCTGTCAGTAGCCTGCCTCGGTTTATCTGTTGATCGTAATCAGACCATGCTCTTGAGTATCGAATAAGTTGGGAGACATAAACACCATTTGCAAGTGATAGCAGAATATTATTACAAAAATAAAGAAAGTTGACGATGGAAAAGGTGGTCATCTCGTTTGTCATACAGTTTAGTCGTTATATAGTTTGTCCTATTATCTTACAGTCAGTAAAACATCAAAATATGAAACAGATGTGGCGGACTCTGTCGTCTTTTATTTCGAGTTCAATGGAATATACCGAGCTAGTCGACATATGAATGGAAGTAACTATTGTTAATCGATAAAACGTCGCGTCGATATATCTGAATGCCGAGTTGAAGGCCACAGCAAGACTAGAAGTTTATTTCTTCTTCTCATGTAGAAGTTTTTGAATTAATTCTGATTAATATATATATATGAGGTGATCAAAAAGTTTGCGAACTATCTCTATATTTACAAAACCACAATTCAGATCAGAATGAAATTTGGCACACATATAAATATACACATGTTCTATAAATAGCAGGTGTTATATAATGTTTTGCTCCGTGTTTGTGACGTCATATATATTTCGTATATCTTGGAAATTCCTTTACAGTAAAATATGATAATTTGTACCAGGTTTACAAGACAAAAGACTTGTCAGAGGATCACTTATTAATTGGATTGATTGTTTTAGTGAAGGCAGGGAGATGGTTAAAATTGATGTTTGATCTGTTGCCCAGCGAAAGCAAGCCGGGGAAAAGATGTGTCCTAAGTTGAGCAATTTGTTAAGAAGCATCGCCAAGTTACAATTAGAAAAACAGTTGAATATCTTAACAATAATATAATTATTAAATTCCTAAAATATCGTTTACTTTAGACATTAAACGTATGAGATATAATAAAAAGAAGGCGTCCATACTTTATCCACATTGGATAAACGACGCTCCCGAGACAGATGACTCGGCTTGTGATGATCACCATGCTAATACTGGGAAGAGATATCCTTATCCACCCATCCTATTGCCGTGATTTGGCCATTTCTGACAGATGGACTGTTTTTGTTATAAAAAATAACTTGCATGGTAAGAAATATAAGACTCGAAAAAAATCATTTAGCTTCTGTGAACAGACCGCTACGGAGTATGTCAAGTGACCGCCTGGATCACGTGATTCCCGCATGAGCAGAACAATGGCAGATGTGCATTAAAATCGGAGAGGACTACTTTAAAAAATAATGAACACTGAAACCTCATTTTATTTCTATTAAGGGAGTAATTCAATTAGTGCGCGAACTTTTGATCACCCCTCGTATATATATATATATATATATATATATATATATATATATATATATATATATATATATATATATATATATATATATGTTTTTTTTTTTTAGCAAAGTTATTTTGTTGATGCCCTAATCACATCAGTTTGTTGGAAGACCTGGTTTCCAAAGATTACATAGATGTTGTCAATGAGGAACTCCAGCTTCCCTTTAATATCAACTTCAGAGTACTTGTACGTAGAATCAGAGTGATTTTTAGCAAAGTTATTTTGTTGATGCCCTAATCACAAGATATGAAATTTTCCGAGATCAGTTTTTATTAAAGAAGCACTTGTCTATGATATGAAAAGCCTAGTTTTTAATTTATCGTGAAGAATGGTTGTACAAGTGAAATTGATGCAAAGCATCAAATCCTCGGCCGCAAAAAAATTTTGCAATTCACATGTAAGCATTCAAGGAAAGCGCGAGATATTCAAAGCTGAAAGAGTGAACATTTTTATTTTGAAAAAGCAAAAATTGCAAAATAAATATCAAAAATTCAGCGCAATTGTTCATGAAATTGATTCATCGTTATGAAGATCTGTGATACATGATAAAAATGTATTGTTGTAGGCCTATTTATATTCAGATCTCTAGATGAACCACGTGCTTATATTCTGGATCTGTGTCACGTGATGATGCTGATGATTTCTGCAGACTATGCTGCACGTTGGGCGCGGGTGATGGACAACACAATAAATGCAAAGTGTCATTCGCAGCTGTAGCATATTCAAAACAATTTTAACTAGTTTTACGAAATTTTCTCTTTTTTTTTATTCATCACTTTTGCCACTGTAATTATTATACGGAAAATCTTACCGATTTGCGTTCATATCTTACACAGTCCCATGTTGGGGAGTACTTATATTGTAAACTAATTTTAATTAATCATGAATTAATAATTATCTGACAAGAATTGAATATTGATTTGAAACATAACAAACAACAGTTAAAACTTAATTTAAAGCAATTTTTAAAACATTTTTACTTGTAATTTTTATACATGATATAATAACGAATTATTTACCGAACCTTTGAAAAATTTGGTGATTTCAAATTTTCTAAAAGATTTTGGGAGTTTTTGAAAATTCAATTTTGACTTATACCACTTCTAGAATATGTTGTAGTACAGTACGTCTGTAGTTTCTCCTTTACTGCAGTTGGAGTAAAGATAGGGACTTCGTAGAGCATTTGCTGGATCCAGCAATGTATTTTATGAAGTTTAGGAATCATTCCAGTAATGGTAGGGTAGATCAAACTCACCTTCATTGACTGAAATGTTAAAAATATTAAAGACTGAAATGTGATTTTGAAGAATTTCATCCCCAGAATGTGAATTGTGAGTATAAGTAGGATTCCGCAGTGACAGATCCAGGAATTTCATAACGGGGGGGGGGGGGGGGGGGGGGGTAGAGGACAGGGGAGCATGGGGGCTGCATTGAAGCTGACGAACTCTTACAAATCAGGTGTTTTTTCCTTGATTTTAGGATAAAGGACATATAAATTGTACATACATGTAAATATATATATATATATATATATATATATATATATATATATATATATATATATATATATATATATATATATATAATTATTATATATTATATATATATATATACTTTCATTTGCTCAAATATAATTCATGACGCCATCTAACAGTCTAAACTAGGGCTGGGGAGATACAACCTTTTCTATATTCGATACCTATCACCATACATGTATTTGAGCCATGATACGATATGTATCACGACAGGCGCGGATCTAGAGGGGGAGGGGGTCCAGACCCCCCCCCCCCCGGAATTTTCAGTTATAAAAAGAATATACTGAAGCAAATAAGAAATGACTGTGCCCCCCCCCCCCCGAAAACGTGGGCCCCACCATCACCACCACGAAAAAGGCGTTTTTCACGTTTGGGAAATTGGATTTACCTATTTCATTTTTTGATTGTCAAGAAATTTTTGGGTAAGGATTTTTTTTGACTGGAGTGGACCCCCCCCCTCCCCTTTTGCAAAAAATTTCTGGATTCGCACCTGCACGATATGTTGAATTGGTTATAAATTCTTTTTTTTTTTTTTGGGTATTGAAATGAACAAAATATTTCTTCACAAATAATTTTTTCAAAGAAGTTGTATATCTGATTAAAAACAAAATTATTTTACACAAACTGTGTTAAAGTGACACTGTGACGGACAAACGGGAAAATTGAGAACAGAAGAATTTTTGCATGACACATGCAAATTTTGTTCAGTTCTTGAAGATACTAGGTTTCAGAAAATTACAGGTTTCAGAACCTAAAAAATCTTATTTAATGGAGAAAAATAAAAGTAAAAAAAATCTTTGTATAACCCATCACAAAAATATTGCTTCACTTCTTCCTCTTTATTGTACGCATGCGCTGAAAAATTGAAGAATTTACCATGGTTTCAATTCCATAGATATATATATCGGATGACTGAGAATTTTGACACAATCTTCAAAAAAGATGATCATAACTTATTCCTTACTTCTGCTTGCCCCAATTCAATGTTGTTTAGTTTCACGCTAAAAATAAAGGACGCGTGACCTTGACATTGACGATAAAAACAAAGCGATAGATACAACATTCGTTTTTCCGGCACTTATATCATGCAGTTTTTTTTCTTGCTTTACAGTGCAGTTGAGTTGTCAAAACTTCGCTATATTCATATTTCACAGAAATATTTTGTTTTGTGATACAATTTTCTTAAAAGAAACACATGGTTTTGACTCATTATGCAACTTTAATTTTTATTATTTCATACTTATATTTAGCATATTTATTTTATATATTAATCCCAAAATGTTAAGTAAACATAGAAAAATAGGTCTGAATTGTTTTTGGTGCGATATTTCTTCATATGTATCGATAAGCGTATCATCCTCAAACAGAATCGATATTATCGATATCTCGATACATCGTCCCAGCCCTAATCAAAACATATTGCTGTTATTTGTAGCATATACAGCATCCGATGGCTTAAGGTAAAATTCAGATTTGCAAGTTTGCAATTTTTAAGTTTGAACATACATTTTGTTGTATAATGCCATAATAAACTTTTTAAATAATTTATTAATGATTATTCTAAAATCATAAAATCACATTGTTACTTTCAAAAACATCAGCAATTTAAACATGATAAACAAAATCAGCTAATAACACAGTAATATCCAGAATTGTTGTCAACACATCAGGGACATTCTTAAGTCATAAATATCAAGCAATATATTTCATATATTAGCCATTAACCCACTTAAATCATTGAAATATATCGACAATTTTTTTTTGTAAAAAAAAAAAAATTAAGTTGATTTATGGAATCTAATCAGTAATGCAACAAAGATATAAAGTGTATTAATGTAAATTCTAATGGAATGTTTTTCTCACCTCTGCTTAAGCACATCACAACACAGACACAAAAACAGTAACAACTATAACAAAGCTTTGTAACAACTTTAAATTTGTACTCCACTTTATCATAAGACTTGTGCAATATCAGTGCAAGAAACATAAATACAAATTCTAATGATATATAATTCTAGCTATTTTGGCCCCTGTAAGGCCTTGCACTTTATCATGTTCTTATTCTACTATACGATAAATTTTAAGATCGATCCCATGAGAGTGTAAATTAAATGTTAAAATTATGCATGTGGAAGATTGAGTATTTTAGTGACCAATCAATCAAATATTAGCTAACAGGCTACTGATACAATTAACTTTAGTTTATCTTTTTAAAAAAAAGTTCTATAAATGGGTGAAAATGTATTCTGTGGAAGCAACTGAACACAGAGGTTGGTCTGGAAGATATAGAAACTATATCATCACTAGCTAAGTGTTTCTGATCCACTCCTCATAAAACCATGTTAAATGGCCAGATTATATGTGACATAATCATATTTCAGTGATTTCAAATCACAAAGATTACCACAAAATATGAAGTTAACAAACAGTAATCAAGCTGAAACAAAACAAATTGTGAGCAGAGAAAACAGGACCTCTATAAACATCAGAGGTGGTATCTGGTACAATAATAAAACAGGACCTCTATAAACATCAGAGGTGGTATCTGGTACAATAATAAAACAGGACCTCTATAAACATCAGAGGTGGTATCTGGTACAATAATAAAACAGGACCTCTATAAACATCAGAGGTGGTATCTGGTACAATAATAGTTGAACTTTTTCTCAGGAACAAGCAAGTTATGATTATAAACGTTGGATAATATACCTGCCAAGTATTCACCAAGTCACAAGCTGTTCAGTTTAACTTAAAAATTAGTTCACACCACTGCCCTTCACAATTATCACCATACTAATAATTATTTGTTAGGACATCTTTTCATTCGCTGGAAATAGGCCAAGAAAACTCTCGGAAATATTGGCAATAAGAATATCTTTGCTATACACTAAATGATTACCGTATATATATATATATATATATATATATATATATATATATATATATATATATATATATATATATATATATACTCGCCTATAAGTCGTTCCACCCATAAGTCAGTTGTATTTTTTAAGGTTAGATTAGAGGGATTGACCCTCTAAAATACCAATCTTTTTATAACTCACCTTTAAGTCGGACAATGAGTTTTGGACCAAAGTTTATTCCCAAAAATTGACTTATAGGTGACTATATACCGTAATCAAGTGATATCAACTGAGTTCACCTCTCTCTCAAAAAAAAAAAAAATCTGAATTTTAATAGATCAATAGTCTTAAAGTTTGTGAGGAGTGGATCAAACTAGAATAACTTGGCTAGCAAAGTATAAAAGCTGTTGAAAAAAGTTAATAAACCTCATCAAGAGTTTGAGATCTAGAGTTTGGTACCTACTTGAAAATTGGGTTTTAATTCATCGTTCAAATCAATAAACTTCACATCCAGGCTTTCAAATCTCAATATGTACATGAATGTATAGAACTAAACATCAAGTGTTTTCTTCACAACATTAAGTTTGAATCTGCCGCAAATTTGTTCTGTCATATCAATTAATGATCAGTCGATATCGATACCAATACTTAGTATATTTCTTTTTTCAGTGCTTTTACACTGACATTCATACAGAAAAAAAAAATGGCACCAGTCATTTGTATATGGCTTTAAACTAATCATCAGTTTTTAATTCAGACAAAAATGCTTCAGAGATTCAGAAACCTGTGATGTTAGCCTAGGAGTAATCACTCACTCCCATCTAGTCTAAAAACATCTCATGAAGACTTGATACACTGTCTCTGATCAGAGAATACAGCCATATAAAAGGCATTTATTTGTATTGTATCAATTACAACATGAAGCATGACTCTTGAAAAAGAAACTGAAAATTATTTCAGTTGATAAAAAAAATAGTGAAGAGGCCCCACAATGCTCACCTGAGTCACTATGGTCCTGCTATTCTTCATCAGCAGATTTATTCCCAATATATTCCTATGTAAAACTATGATCTCCAATCTATCTCCCAGGGTCATGATTTGAACAAAATTGTATCTACATTACCTGAGGATATGCTTCCAAATAAATATAACTAAACATGATTTTGCTATTGTTGAGTTAAAAAAAACCCTACACTTCCTTTGCAAAACTCTGATTTCCTATTATGGTTCCACCCTTCCCCCAGGGCTTGTGATTTGGATTTGAACAAACCAGAATTCACACTACCTGAGGATGCTTCCATACTGAATATGATTCATCAGGGAGAAAAATATTTTTAAAGATTGTTTCCTAACATTCCTTTGTAAAACTTTCATCTTCTATTGTGGCCCCATCCTATCCCCAGGGGTCATGATTTGAACAAATTTGAATCTACAGTACCTTAGGGTGCTTCCATAATATGACTGAATCAGGACTTTGGCATTTTTGAGATTTTTTTCCTATATATTCCTGTTTGAATGTGTCATTGCCTTGTGGCCCCACCCTACCCCTGAAGATCATGATTTGAACAAATCTGAATCTAAAGAACCTAAAGATGCTTCCATAATAATATGACTAATCCAGGCTTTGCTGTTCTTGCTGATAAGATTTTTAAAGATTTTTCCTAAATATTGCTACTTAAAACATTGATTGCCTATTTTGACCTCACCCAACCCCTGGGGTCATGATTTGAACAAAACTGAATCTTAAGTTCTTGTGGATGCTTCCTTGATAATAAGACTATAATCCAGACTTTGCTGTTCTTGTTGAGATTTTTAATGATTTTTCCTTTACATTGCTAGCTCAAACATTGATCACCTATTTTGACACCACCCTACCCCTGGAGGTCATGATTTGAACAAAACTGAATCTACACTATGTAATGAAATTTCATATAGGTTTCATATTTCTGGTCCAATAGTTCTTGAGACTTTTGAAAGATGCCATTAAATTTACACTAATTCTTAGTTATCTCCTTTAAAGGAGGGCATGGCCTTTCATTGGAACAAACTTGAACCCATTTACCCAAGGATGCTTTGAGGCAAGTTTGGTTGAAATTGGCCAAGTGATTCTTGAGAAAAAGTAGAAAATGTGAAAAGTTTAAGACAACAGACAATGGACAATTATCAGAATAGCTCACTTAAGGCTTTGGCTCAGGTGAGCTGAAAATCATTGACTCAATATAAAGTACAAGAATTATTATGTCACAAAATTTGTCCTCTCTCAATACATCATTAGTATACAAGCACTTCTTCGATATTTTTCTAAGTTCTCACCAATGCATGTCAATGTTTCACTGCCAACAATTTCTGCTGGAAGACCTTTTTTACATTTCAAAGATCCATAACTATGGACTTTTCTAAAATTCTGAAGCCTCTCTTTGTTAAGTTGTGGAAGCATTAAAATAAATCTCACAAAACCTTCTAAAATCTAGCACAACACATTTATGTGGAGTTTCTCCTCCAACTTTTTGGGAAATATCACTTTAGTTAATAACTATAATACTGAAAGCTTTAATTGTCAATGTTACCTACATGTAGCTGTAACAATGATATAGCATTCAACAATAATCAGCAAAAATGTACATATAAAATCATCAAATCATGCCATTATATACACATATTACACAAGAGATGGTCAGAGTGCTCTGTATTCATGTAACAAATACCAACAAAACAACATTATTTCTGCATTTTTGAGTGGTTATAAATAAAATATTCAACTTTCATTTAACTTGAATATATCAGCTAATTTACACAGAGTCTGACAGAGATACAAGAATAAAGCCATACAAGTCTGTTATAAACTGTACATGAACAAATTACCATAATTATGGAAAAATTGATTACTTGTGAAATATGAAATTTCAAGGAGTGCAACAGCATGAGTTTCATTACATCAGTCTCATTCCTGGTATTTAACATTATAATTTTTTTTTTGCACTGCTTTTCAGTAATGTACTGTTTGGACTAGAGGACTGGTTGCCAGGCAAACTTGTGTATGGACTGGCTCCCAAATTAGCTGGACTCCCTATACTGTGTCTCATGGCCAAATCCTTGGCTTGCTTGCGTGACCCTCTTCTTTTCTTGTCTAAAATAAGTTTATCATGACGCACGAAAATTCCATGACGTGACCTGCACTTGAAATATCTGGTGCCTTTAACGGAGCCATCATTTTTACCTGTCAATAAATGGAGCAATGCACGTAGAAACTTACTACCAAAAGTGTCTCACAAGGCTATACATGTAGCTCTAATGGTTGACTTAAAAATAACCTGAACATTTAACATTTCTACTCTGAAATTTCATACAAGCAACCTTTTTTTTCATTTATAAAATACCGAGAAGCAATATGTTATAACTAGAGTGTTCCAAGGAACGCATGTGTCGCCTGCTTTGTCGCTCCATTAAAGGTGTAAATAAATCTAAGAGTGGCCAGCTTTTTATTTACTATAAGCATGATAGACTGTTAATTCATACATTTGCCTGCAAAGAAAAAAATTTCACCATGGATAGTATAAGACTGTGATAGAATCTGACAATCAAAGAAAATATGGTTCCATAACCCTCAAATAAATAATTAAATCAAAATTATTAGAAATAACTATTTGTCATTTTATTAAAACGTGTTTCCAACAATCCTCTGAAAGAGATTTCAGTCTGTCTTAACGCAATTTTCAGTCTACACGATCCATTGTTGAATACCGATCCTGATGTATTTTCATGGTATTTAAATACAAGTTTGTGTGGTAACTGAATATCATACAGTTTCAAAGTACTTTTTTATGAGCTAAATGTGTTTCCAGTAATCATTCAAAAGAGATTTCAGTCTGTCTTTACTGCAAATCTCAGTTTACATGATCCATTGTGGAATACAGATCCCGATGTATTTTCATAGTATGTATTTAAATATGTCTGTGTGGTATCTGAATATCATACGGTTTCAGAGTACACTATCATGAGCTAATAAACATGTATAAATGCTAATTATCTAAACCCTTCCTTTCAAAATTCAAAAGTTTAATTAAACTGTCCAAGATATATTTTGCAAAGTAGGTCAAAGGTCAAGTGGATTGTAATGCTAGAATTTTTCATATTGTCTTATGACAAACAGTGCATATGCTAAATAGCATAGACTTACCTCTTAAATGTCAAAAATATGCTGTAAATCGATACTATGAACTATTTTGAAAAGTAGGTAAAAGGTCAAGTTCAAAGATCATGAGGTTGGTAACAGTGGTAATTTACAAATGCCAAAGTGCCAAATAATATATGTGCAAAATATCAAATCCATATCTCTTACAGTTCTCAAGATACAACGTGTGACAGATCAACAGACAGAAAGATGGACAGACAGACAGACGCCGGGTAAACTGATCCCAAAGTGTTGCTCTGCTCTGCAGGTGACACATAAATGGACAATCATTGCCCCAAATTTTCTCAGTTGCCAAAATGCAAGTTAGTTTTAATTTCTAGTACCAAATGAATTTTGGGGTCTTAAATTCTACTGATTGAGCAGTCAATATATTTCTACGTCAGTTTTACCCTTGACCTCTGACTCAAAATTTATAATCCTCAATGGGAACCAGTGTACCAAATTAAATGTTTGTCAAGCAAACAGTTTTCAAGACATTGCGCTGACATCTTCCTATGTCTAAAGTAGTTTGACCTTGACCTTTGATCTTGTGACCTAAAAATTTTCTGTGGTCATCTCCTCATCAGAAGACACTTCACCAAATTTCATGTCAAGTACAGTGGACTCCGGATACAACGAGATGCTAGGGACATCAGTTTATATCTCGTTATAACCGATATTTGTTATATCCGATGTCTGCATTTTACAAGCTGAGAGCTGATTGGTATTTGAATAAAGACTTACATGTATAATTAAGCATGTTCCCCTGTGAAATAACATTCTTTGACATGGAAAGAGAGAGGTGTTTTAAAATAAAATAATTCCTTTTTAAATAAAATATGCACAATTGAACTTATTTATAGACGTTAAAAAATGAAAGACGTTGCAGGTTCACTACATGCATTTGTAACTAAGATAATCATCACACTGCACAATTAAGATCAAGCTCAAATACACTGCATTTCCAAATTTTGTCAATTCATTGTCTATTTCAATATGCATATTGAATTTTCTACGTATCACTTCCGTGTCTGACAATTTAGTTTGCAGAAATTTCTCAACGTTTTGACATCATTAAATCTTTGTTTCAATTTCGTCAACCTCTTCATTTTATGTCACTTGCACTTTTTATTTAAAAAGAAAATATCGTTTCATATTGTTTTTGTTTAAATATTTTAAGAATCAATGCCAAAAAATCGGAAGGCTCGATTGAAAGCAGTATTGCTAATTTTAGCTCCACTTGCTGACCAAGTTCATTAACTCTGCCAGGTCACGTACATTTGTATACAACACATTTTCTACATTGAAATCACCAGGCCAAAACTCCGAGGCAATGTGAAGTTTTATTTGGTTTTTGACTTTTTTCTAAATGTGTTAAATGTTAATCCATAGCCATTATTAATTTTCCTTGAATGTTTTCAAACTTCGCTAATAGTTTCTACTTTTGTTCTGTATAAAATGACCTTTCCCTTCTTAGAAGCCCTACTGAAGTTTTTATAGCAATAAAAACAACTTGCTATTACTTCTCAACACCTTTAATTAACTGTCGTGGTGTAATGTTGTGTACAGATACCTGTGATAATTACCATTATTTACCTGGGACTGGCAGGTGTAATTATGTGCAACGCGAGTACCTCGTTATATCCGATAACTCTTTCTACTAACCAGGACGGATTTTGACCTCTTTATCAGCGGAATCTTGTTGTAAGTGATCTCGTTATATCAGGCATTTTTATAAAAGAAATATATAAGTATTAATTTGGGACTCAAAATTTATCTCACTGTAAGCAGTACCTCGCTGTATCCAACCTCGTAATACCTGGTGGCCACTGTAAAGGGATATCGAGTGATTATTATCTTCCTTTGTCCTGTTTGATCTCAAAATCTACAGTTGTCATCTACTCCTCAGTGGGAAAAAATGTACCAGTTTGAAGTACATCTAGTCAAAGGATTCTCAGGAAATTGAGCAGTCCTTATCCTATCTTACATCAAGTTTGACCCTTGACCTTAAAATCTAAATCTAAGTCATCTACTCCTTAAAAGAAACTAATGTACCAAATTGGTGTCTGTCAAGTAAATGGTTCTCAAGATATTGGACTGTCAGACAAGATCTTACTTTGTCTAGAGTAATTTGACCCTTGACTTTTGACCTCAAAATAAATGGGGGTCAATTTTTTTTCAGGGGGGTACAAATGTACTAAGTTTCATGTATGTCAAGCAAGGGTTCTCAAGATATTAAGAAGCCAACACTTAGTCTACATGTATCAACAGACATACCGACTGAATGACAAATGCAAAGCAATATCCCTCCTTTTTCAAAGGGGGCATAAAAAAAATTACATCAAAATTATTTATATGCTACCTTCTGGTAAATCAAGTTCCACTCCCACCCATGGGCCTGTTGCGAACTCCACATTTCCTACAAATCTGACCACTCCAGTATTAGAGGACCCTTTTGACGACTGAACTATGACACTCTCTCCATTTTGAACCCAGGAGGGTACTGGAATTTCCTGTAATCTGTCTAGGTCTGCTCTACTTCCAAATGAACACACACTCACTGAGTCATCATTACCTAGGTTAAAAGAAATATGACAAAATTTACTATGAATTATCTAAACCAATCCATGCTTTTCTAACTGTGAAATTTCAAAATCACTTATGTTCCTCAGGCATTAGCATCTAATTTTATCATGATATTAACAAGAAAGGACAACGTAATTTCTGTTAACTTTTTTCATTGAAAAATTATGAACACAAAAGTGAAATAAAAGCAATAAAAATATTTGATAAATAAAAGGCAGAGATATAAGTAAACCAAACAATTAAAAAAACATGAGTCTGAGAGCTTCACAAAATTTCAAACTAGAACTGTCCAAATTAGACAAATACCACCCTCTTTTTTAGAAAAGTTACCAAGTCACTAAAAGTATTTGATGGAAGAGGTGTTCACACTCAAAATTTAATTGCTTACTGTATTTTTTAATGAATGATTAACTCAGCCACAGCCTAATGAAATATTAATACACTAATCATTATAATGTTTTTTATTACATTGTAAATTGTGGTTTGTAAGCACCAAACAAGAGGCCCATTGGCCACACCTGAGTCACTTTGGCCCTGCTGTTCTGCATCAGATTTTTCCCGAAAATGCATGTATTTTTCTGTATTTTTGATCGCCTTTTGTCGTTCCACCCTATACTACATTGCTGTGGTTTGTACAAAAATGGTTCAACACTACCAAAGGAGCTTTCATATTCATATGATTCTTCATGGATTTTCTCTTGAGGAGTTTAAAAGAATTTTCCCTATATAATCCCTATTGTGGCTCCATCCGACTCCCAGGGGTCATGATTTGAACAATTTAGAATATGCACTACCTAAGGAAGCTTCCACATATGATTCAGATTTTTTGGTCCAGTGGTTCTTGAGAAGAAGATTTTTAAAGATTTTTCTTAGATATATTTCAATGTAAAACTGATTCCCTATGGTGGTCCGATCCTACCCCGAGGCCATGTTTTGGACAATTTAGAATCCATATTACTTCAGAAAGTTTCCACATAAAATGTCAGCTTTCCTGGAACAGATTTTTCCTATAATTTTCAATGTAGAACTTTGATTCCCTATTGTGGCCCACCCTACCCACGGATGGACGGATGGAAAAACAGACCCAAATTAATATCCCCCACTTTCAGTGAAAGCAGGGATAATTATCCAATCATGATGAAAATACCAGGTACCCATCTTCATTTGGTGAATACACAGGTTTTTGGATCGCTTAAATCCGACTTATGAAAAATTTTGGGGTGTAAAAAAGATAAAGGTATGGAACTCTTTACATAGGGTACCTACTTTTGTGATTAAAATACTTTTTAATCAAATGATCTAAATTTTTCTTTTTATTCACATATAAACAGCCTACATTACTACCAAAGTTCATTCCAAAACTCTGTATACTTCCAGAGATACTCTAAAATCAATTCCAAAATTGACCTATATTTTTTACTCAACATTAGCTTGGGCCCCTGGTAAATAAGCAAATATTTAGTGAGTATAGAACAAATTCCAGGAAAAATTTGTCCCGTCATTCCCATTTTACAATTAGTGCAAATATTCAGAGGCCTAAGCTAATGTTGAGTAAAAAAAATTAGGTCAATTTTGGAATTGATTTCTACAGACAGATGGACATGTTGATTCCAATATACCTCCCTAAACTTCATTTGCAGGTGAAGGGGGGGGGGGGGGGAGTTAAGAGGTATAAAAATGTCCAAAACATTTGAATAGCATACCAGACATTTCATCATCAGACAGGTGGAGAGTAAGACTGTTCCTCTTCATGCTCTCTTCCAAAATAGACACCATGTCTTGTGAGGGGGACACTATACATGACACAGGGCGCTGCTGGCTCCGTTTTCCTGAATGACGTTTCCCAGTTGTTTCTAATATATGTGGCTCCATAGTCCTTTCTGGAAGCGCTTTCTCTGGACATTCTTCTAAGGACTCGTCCTCTTCAACTCCTAGCTTTTCCAGCTCCTCCATGGCTGTTTCACTGTATGGATCCACAAACTCACTTATTGCACTGGCCCTTTGTGATATACCCTCCAACTTATTCCTGTTTTCTTTATTCACTTTTCTTGTTGTAGTGTCTTTACTTATAGCACCAAGACTTTCAACAATTTTTTTCCTCTCCTCTTTTGATCGTTTTAATCTTTCAGATTGAGAAATTACTGACGACTCCACTTTAATGTCTGATATTGCAACATCACTACTTAATTCACATAAAGATGTATCACAACTTGTAGAATGAACATTACTGTCATTAGGATCAGGTTTTTCTACTAAACTTCCATCTCTTGCCTCTAAAGATGAACTTGAAGTATCTAATGAACAATTAGAATCCACACTTGACTTATTCAGCTCGTCACCATCATCAGCTTTATTTTCTGTTAAATGAATATTGCTTTCAGAAATTGAGGTCATAGCCTCCTTCTGACCTCCCTCTGTCTCAAAATCACTACTGGTGAGTTTAATTGGAACATCTTTGTTCTCATCATTATCTGAGTCACTACTCGTTTGTTCTGGACTTCCTTTATGTCCTCTTTTCAATTCTTTGTTTGATTCTAAATTGTCTTCTATACTTTTGATACTGAGTGAATCCTCAGATGACAAAGTTAACATGGAAACAGCTTGCGACCCATAACCACTGGAAACAAGACTTGGAGTGAAATTTTTACACTGTACATCAGCTAGGCTGTCACTGGTACAGGAGTGTGCTATCCCATCTACAACACATCAATAGGCATTTATATATTTATTCAACAATTCCTCCTAAAATTAAGTATTTAGACTCAGAGATTTAATTTCTACTTATGCTACTGAAAATTTCCTGATATTTTACAATGTATTAATATCCAGTACAAGAATGTCATTAAAAATAACCTATTATACCATATGTACTTACACTAAGATATCGTTCAAAACAGAATCAAATTTTAACATAACATTTTCTCTAAACAATCCAGAAATATGTGTCCTTTATCTGGAAGTCTATTTTAACCATAAAATGTAATTTTTAATATACTGTATGAAAATGAAAAAGGTGATGATAACAAACAGTTCAATCTAAAAAAAAATCTATAAATAAACAATACAAATCTGTGAAGAGGGCATAAAGCATAGACCCCTGGAATTCTTATTGCTTACCCCTTACTCCTAGGAGGAGTGAGCATCCCCTGTTGACTGGTCACACCCACCATGATCCCTATGTATTGATCAGGTAGATGGAACATTCCGTAGTCAAAGTCAGTATAAAACAAAGGCCTAACACTTGGTATGAAACACGTCATCCAAAATACAACTCAATGATAAGTTATAATCGCTAACAAGGTCATTATAAGGACCATATAATTCATGAAATGCCAACTTTAAACAAGGTTGTTGAAATCCCTGTTACATCAACTTATCTGTCAGTAGCCTGCCTCAGATTAAAATCTTTAAAATCGGATCATACTAGGATCATGCTCTTGAGTATCGAATACGAGTTAGTTGGGAGATGTTAACACCAAATGCAGTGGGATATTACTACATAAATGAGGAAAGTTGATGATGGAAAAGCTGAGGTCATCTCATTTGTCATACAATTAAGTTGTTAGTTGTCTCTTATCGTCTATAGTCAGTAAAACATCAAAATATGAAACAGATGTGGCAGACTCTGTGGTGTCTTTTAGTTCACTGGGATATATCCAGTCGACATATGAATGGAAGTAACTATTGTTATTGATAATACATCATCGATATATCTAAATGTCGAGTTGAAGACAAAAGCAATATGCCCTAAGGCAGGGCTCTCCATTATTTATAATTGGGAACATTGAAGGTCCCCATTCCCAATTCAAAAAAGGTACAGTCCTTTGACCAGTTCCGAATTTTGATCAGTTCCGAATAATTAATAATTTAAGAGCTGATAATTAATAAATTCAAACGTGAAAACATAAATTCATACATATGGTATGAAGGCTTATCTATGGGTGTTAGAATTATGTGAAGTTTTGATTTTTTGCCGTCAGTTTGTGTTCGCTATCATACTTGAAACAGGTGACATACTTTTTACCTTGCAACAAATCTGAAACACTGTGACGCGTTTGTCTGCAGAAAACGTGTGTTAAGACGTCTATTTTTCACATAAAACAACATTTTAACCATCAAAAGTAAGTTTCATATGTATTTTTAACAAATACCAAAAGCTTACCGAAAATAAATAATTAGACCACCGGAAGATATCGGAATATTTTCATGTTGTCACTTTACTAGTTCCGGATACAAATTATAAACACTATATAATACATTAGTTTTCTGTTATTTCTTCATAATTTTGTAAATGTGACTGTTATTTCTCTTTATCCTTTTTCATTTCAACTCTTCCAAGACATGTCAATTGATAATGTGCTGGATGGATATTTTTAATTTATGGTCGAATTGCATGGGAACCGCTAAGGTATTTGGAACTCATCGGCTTACTCTTAACTAGTAAAATGAGTACCCATGTTAACTTGCTAAAATAAAAAGTTTTTTTGAAAGGTTGAACTATTATGAAACAACATTTAATTCCGCAAGTCATTGAACTACTTTGACAAACAAATTAGATTTTGAAATAATGCCGTCATATATTTATAGTACCACCTAATCGGTTCCCTATTCGCAACTGGTCAAACGACTGTACTTTTTTCCCAATAGAATGTGTTTATTTTCCCAAAAGTCATTTCTCCCAAATATTAAAGAAAATATATATGGATATGTAATAACTAAACTTGCTATTCATATTCCTCTGTATTGCAAAACAAAAATTTAGTTGATAACAAAGACTAGAAACCTAATATATCATGATTTAAAAGTATAAAAAAAAAAAGGTTCCAAAAAGGTTGCCATTTTCCCAAACTTACAACCCTGGCCCCATTCCAAAGAAGTGGTGTGAGAGCCCTGCTAGGACATGATGCCCCGCCAAGGGTTCATTAGTTATGCAACATTAAATTTTATATTAGAGTATGAAGGATGATGAAAATATCTTGAATGGTTTCTTTAAAACTGAGTTTTAGTCAGAATAAATAGTGAAGTCAAAGGTTATTGGAAATAAGTTGATAAATTCTCACTAAATTATGTATCAGTGCATAAGCTTACATAAATATAGCTTGAATAGTTTCTTTAAAACTACCCATGGGTAAGCTAATTGCAAATTTAAGATAAGTGAAGTTAAGGTCAAAGGGAAAGTCAAGGTCTAACAAGATGTATTTATGAAACACTGATGCCCCCGTATGGCAGCTTATGGCCAAGGTTAAAGTTCTTCAAAAGTAGGTCAAAGTCCTAGGTCAAAGTCAAAAGGTCAAAGTGGTTGGTGTCCAAAGGAAGGTCTTGTCACAAGGATTACATATGTGAAGTATGAAAGCCCCAGCTCCAACCATTCAAAAGTTACGGCCAAGGTTAAAGTTTTTCAAAAGTAGGTCAAACTCCAAGGTCAAGGTCAAAAGGTCATAGTGGTTGGTGTCCAAAGGAAGATTTGGTCACAAGGATTACATATGTGAAGTATGAAAGCCCTAGCTCCAACCATTCAAAAGTTATGGCCAAGGTTAAAGTTTTTCAAAGGAAGTCAAACTCCAAGGTCAAGGTCAAAAGGTCAAAGTTGTTGGTATCCAAAGGAAGGCCTTGTCACAAAGAATATACATGTGAAGTTTGAAACCCCAAGCACCAACTGTTCAGAAGTTATGGCCAAGGTTAAAGTCTCATAAAATTTTGCAAAAGTGGGCCAAACTCTAAGGTCAAGGTCAAAAGGTCAAATATGATGGTACCCAAAGAAAGGTCTTGTCACAAGGAATACACATGTGAAATATGAAAGTCATAGCTCCAACCAATCAAAAGTTATGGGCAAGGTTAAAGTTGACAAAAGACGGACAGACAACAGTGATTCATTTTGAAAATGGTTATCATGGGTCCAAAGGACCCCTCTTAATGACAACAATGAGTCCCCTGCCAAAATCAATGTGTCCAAATCCAAGGGGACCGTATATTAGATGTTACAGAGGAAATTCTGGTGAAATAAAAAAAAGTGTATTGCACGAAATTGCAAATGTTTTATTGTAGCTGTGAGTGATTTATACTTTTACTATCAATTGTCCAAGTAAGAGTACATGATTTTGTGTCATAAAAATAATATATTGTCCACTGTGCACTTTGGTTCTATTTTTAGATCGATACAATCTCACACATTGTATCAGTCATAAAATGCACAGAAGCAGAAAGAGGTAAAAAAAAAAAATTTAAGAAGAAATGACAAATAGTCAGAAATAAAAATGATTAAATTTTATACTTCTTAGCTTGTAAGGAAAAAACAAAAAAAAAAAAAAACAACAATGATACAGGTTACAGCTTAAATACGAAGGTACAAATGTATAGTATTCGCTTCAGAAACGTTCCACTGTATAGACATAATCAGTGATAATCGAACTATGCTATCTAACTTTCAAATATTTTCTGACAATTGCTTTTAACTTGAGTTGTGAAATCTGACCAGTTGTTGGCAACCTTGTAGACCTACCTGTTAAAATCGTTCATGCATATCGTTTAGCACGTGGATATGATGCAATCGGTCAAGTTTTGAATCAGATTATACCGAAATAATTTAAAATAGTACATGTACATGTCTTTCTATAAATTTATTGCGTCCATTGGGATGCACATTTATTGAAATAATGCGTCCTGGGCAAAATTTGTGCATAATTTACGCAGGACGCACATCAAAATGAATCACTGCAGACAAACAGACAATAAGACAGACAGGACAAAAACAATATACCCCCGGGATCTTTCGATCGGAAAAATTAAAATATGGAGATAATTAAGGTCCCCCCGATTGAAATCATTTTGGTAATTGGTCAGTTAGTGAAGTGTTTATTACTCATCTTTTTAAATGGCGCATCAGTGCCCAGCTATCCTCAATTTCTTTTATAATGAGTGAAAAATAGTAAAACCACTGTTGAGTATGTTCAGTATATAACAGCTTTCAATGCTGATCTTACCCCATATATTTTGTGCATTTGTCAATCAAATTTGATTTTCAACAAAGAAATGTGAATTAATCAATGATTCTGATAATGAGGATAATGCAGAATGAACTTGTGACATTTGATTTGAGAAATTATATCAAGCATATTGCATGGTTTTAAAATTGATATTAAATTCATATAGTTTTCATTTTAACAAAACATTACTATTGTCTTTCTTAGTTGTTTATATATACATGAATAGACCTTACTTGAGAAAAAAACTAACATGAATAAATGAGCATTTCAATGCCATGTGTATTTTGATACAATTAACCCTTCCAGTTAATTGGATGGAATATGAGGTAGTTATAACCCAATGGCAATTCTGTATTCAATTGCCATCCCTATATAAAACATAATTAAATGTTAAACACATAGAAATACATATTTATCTCAATAAAATAATGAACACCTTCCATTTTAACTTGATCAATTCCATTTGATCAAAAGCTCTGTGTGGTTGTTAAGTACAAAAAAGACAACTGAAATCTATGCATACTTTAAACACTTTATTTTCCAATTCTTAACAAATGCTTGTTAAAGAAACCATTATATATCTGGCATGTCTTAACAACTGTTTGTTAAGAACACGAAAAATAAGCTGAAGGAATTCTTAAGTAATTGCTTGTTAAATAAAATTAAGTAAAACTGTTACACTTTTATACAGAGTTTTAACAACTGTTTGTTAA